GTGAACTATTGGGGTGCATGCATCTTTTTGAGTTAAGTTTCCCCCTAGATATATGCCCAGGAGTGGGATTGCTAGATCACATGGTTAAGTCTGTTTTTAGTCTTTTGAGGAATCTCCATACTGTTTTCCATAATGGCTGCACCAAACTACACTCCCACCAACAGTCTAGGAGGGTTCCCTTTTCTCCATAGCCTCTTCAGCATTTATCGTTTGTGGTCTTTTGAATGATGGCCATTTTGGCTGGTGTGAGGCTTGTAGTAGTTTTGATTTGCATTTCTCTGATAGTTAGCGATATTGAGCATTTTTTCATGTGCCTATTGGCTATTTGTATATTTTCATTGGAAAATTGCTTGTTTAGGTCTTCTGCCCATTTTTGCATTGGGTTGTTTATTTTTTTCTTATTAAGTTGTATGAGCTGTTTATATATTCTGAATATTAAGTCTTATCATTCTCATCTTTTGCAAATATTTTCTCCCATTCCGTAGGTTGTCTTTTTATTTTGCTTATGGTTTCCTTTGCTTTGCAAAAGCTTATAAGTTTAATTAGGTCTCATTTGTTTATTTTTGCTTTTATTTCTATTGCCCTAGGAGAACATTGCTGGGATTTATGTCAGATAATGTTTTGCTTGTATTTTCTCTAAGAGGTTTATAGTTGTCTTATGTTTAAGTCTTTAAGCCATTTTTTAATTTTTGTGTATGGTTTGAGGGAGTATTCTGACTTCATTGATTTACATGCAGCTAGCACAGCCATTTTTTTCCTTTCTCTCCTTTTCTTATGAAAGCAAATAGGTAGTATTTTTCACTGTATGCATAATGATGCTGATTTATGTCTGTAATGACAGTTAACTAGTGCAGACATGATAAAACTATGCCACACCTTTATACCCTTCATTCTTGATAGTGTTATATCATGTGCTGGGAAATGTAGGACAGCTGAGTATTTCAGATATGCTGCATCTGTTCCTGGGAATTAAATGCTTCATGTGATTAGCAAATGCTTATCTAAAAAGCATATGTAAACATAAAACGATTACTTTATTCTCAGTAAGTTGGCTATATATTTGGGAGAAAATAATACAATATTGCCTCTGTACTCACTACTACTTTTACACTTTAATTTATAGTAGAGTGGTTTAAGGACTAGAGATTATTGCCTAGATTTTGTAATCTTAAAATGGGAATATGATAATGAGTACAATACAAGTAGGTATGAAAAGTGTCTGCCCTTAACACTGTTGGGGATTTGTGTTATACAGAATGAGTTATGTAAACCTGATCTTGCTCTAGGAACAAGTGAAGTTAGCCTCCCACTTGGTCCGGGAGATATGCCTGTAAACAGATAAAATATGATGGTATGTAATGCTTAAACAGATATGAGTTAAGAGATTTGGGAGTGCAGAACACATCATTTAACAGGCTGTAGAGTTAACTGAATAGAAAGAAAAATGGCATTCTGGGTATTGGATACATTCTGTGTAAAGATCAGGAAAGGCCTTGGCATATTAGTGTGGTAGAAAATGAGAATAGACAGTGGGATGAATGGCAAGAGGTAGATTGGGTTCCAGGGCTAATTTACCTGTTAGGCACAATAGACTTACCTTATTTCTGGAGGCCCATGAAAGTGTTTTAATTTGTTTTAAAATCTGAAGGAAAAAATGAACTTTAAGGTTGAAAATGTTTTAATATCTAATATCCCAATGGAGTTGTAAAATATACTTTTAATGTTTTTAATAGAGGAAGGAGCCCATGAAAATAAAAGTTCCTAGGGCTCACAAAAGTGATCATGGCCTTGTTGGGTGTTGATTATGAAGAACCTTATGTGCTAACTGACAAGTTTGGATTTAATTCTGGGAACATCAGGCAGCTAACAGATTGTAAGCGTGATCATCTCTGTCTTTTATGAAGATGCCTCTGTCAGCAAGTTTAGATGAGACTATTTTCAGTTTAATGTAGTTAATTTTAATCACAGTTGTTTTAGTGCTTATTATAACCAGATATAACCTATTTAAAATGAGAAGAGCAGTTTTTTAAAGACTTATATCTAATCACTGTTCTTGGTTAAGAATGTCCATAAAAGAGCTAATTGACCAAGCTTGAATGATTAAAATTGACCAAGCTGTTGACAAATTTAGAAAACCACATGTAAATGATCAGGTATGTGACAATATAATGCTAGGCTATACTGTTTCTCATAGTACTCTTTGTTTCATACCTACTTTTCCTACATTGTTTATGAAGAATTCAAAACTTTATATAGAGGTATTGCTGAGGCTTTCCAACAAAGAAGATCTAAAAAGCTACAATCTTTTATAAAATGGATTCTTATTTGTTTTGACCACAGGACAGCTTAGTTAGAATTCTTGCTAGAACACCTTTATTATTGAATGGGAATTTGCTGAATCATAATTTGAAAGAGTTATTCTTGAAGTAGTTAAGTATAATTGGCCTATATTAATGCCAGTTTCATGAAATAATTCCTAAAAAGTAGGCTGAAGTAATTTTAAGAAAAAAATTATTTAGTAAAAACCGAGGGATATAAAAAGATATGATTCAGTCCCCTACAGTTGTATCTTTATTGCTTTGATATTGGAGGTTGGAGGAGAGACACAGGGGAGGCTGGATTTGTTTGTCTTTTTTTTAATAAGAAAAATTTTAAGTTTCAATTCTCTAATTATTAAATAATGGCACTAAAAATTTTACACACCTTTGGGCCTTTAGCTACTTTTCAATGGTAAGAGAAATACAAGAAGAAGAAAAACTTTCATTTTGCAGCTATTCTTTCACAAGGATATACTTTTTTATTTTTTAAATTAAATAAGGCACTTACTTATCTATGATCTTTCTACCTCCAGGTACGGTTAGATCCCTGTTCATTAACTCAGTATTCAATACAAAATTCTAGTCAAAATGGATAACAGCAGAAGAGGAGAAGAAAAATTAGAATATATCAGTTGTGGACAACTAAGAATACAGAGTTCATATTTCCATTCTGACCTTTCTAACAGTTTAGACAGAAAGGGAAACAGAGTGGGTTATGTAATCTCATTGTCTGGTGGTAGTAGGTAAAGAGCACTTAACCTGAGTCAAGAAATGGGGTGACAGGTGAAAGGAATTATGCCTTACTGATAGGTATACTTTTTTAGATATGCAATACAGAGTTTTTGTTTGTAGTTTGAAACTTTTAAATATAACTCTTTGTGCTGTATGTGCTTTGTATGTAGAAATATATTTGATTTTAATCTTTGTAATAATTTGTTACAGTCTGCAAATTAGGGAATAATCTAAGGAAGTACTGGTATTAAATGTGCAAGGTAGTATAATTAAATGAATTTGAGTATGTGACCACATGTGGTAGGAATTTGAATATGTGACTACATGTGGTAAAAATGTGGTAGAATTATAATTTGTGTAATATCCTAGCGTTAGTTTTTATAAATAGGCTATACGGCATTTTCTGGCCATTTAGTTGCTATTAGTAAATATTTTCTAGAAGACTGCCTGAATTAGTTTTATATTGTGGAATTCAAGTCACATTCTGTTTTTAGTTACTACTGTTTGTCTCCAAACAAACTGTAAGATGCTTGAGGGGTAGAACTCTATATTATTTACTTGTGAATCCCCTATTTACTTAGTCCATTACTTTTGAAGGTACTTTCTGTTATAATTAGTATTGCAGGTATTTGTCTAAATGGACTTGGGCACACAGCTGTAGGTTCTTTCATTTCTTCTCTAGATTTAGGTCCTCAGTTTTGTAGTTTCAGAAACATTATTTTAATAAATCATCTCCAGTACTAATGTGCTCATGAATTAAGCCGTACTAAACAAGATACACATTAAAGTGAAGAAATAAATCAGATGCCCATGCGGAATATAATGTCAAAGTCTATTAGATTGTTATTCTCCTAGCCAAGTGAGTTAAGAAAATCTACTTTAAGAAATCACATGAAGATCAGCTGTTGTTTTTAAGAATCATTTACTTCTTTGGTATTCTCAGCAGTGTTAGTAAATGTTTCTTAGCTGTTAAATTATGTGGCAAATGTTCTACTGAGATTAGTTAAATCAAATTGTACATACAGGGGGAGGGTATAACTCAGTGGTTAGAATACATGCTTTGCATGCATGAGGTTCTGGGTTTAATCCCCATTACTTGTGTGTATGGAGAAAGATTGATTGGCATTGAAAATACATTGGGTTTACTTTCAGTATAAATGATTGTTGAACATTTCTTCTGGGTGTTATATTGATATCTTTATTAATGGAAGGTCATTTTCTTTTTGACCGCTAATAGCCTTAGTTTAAAAAAATGTTTTTTAACTTTAGTTTTTAAAAACAGATTTGTTAAGGTATAATTTGTATGGCATGAAATTCACTCATTTTAAGTGAACAGTTCCTTTTTTTTGTAAATTTACAGAGCTGTGCAATACTTACTGCAATCTAATTTTAGAACATTTCCGTCTTCCCAAGATATAAACCATGTACTCATTTGTAGTCATACTCCTCATCCTTAGTTTGCCATGCTTAATGATGTGCGTTTAGCACTTTACAGCTGTCTATAAAATATGGTAGAAGTGAGTAATGTAGAGTTTAACAAAATTATTAAAACCTCTAGGTTTGTTAATTTGTTTGTTTTGAAGTTTTGATAATTTAGAGCATGGATATTTTTCTGATGATATTTCTTTATTCAGACACCAAAATTATTTAATGGGAGAAAGAGGGGTGAGAATAATTTGTATAAGAGGGTGTTTTGGGGAAGTTGGTTTTCAAGTTTGCTTCTTATTTGGAAGTTACAAGTTAATTAATGAATAGAAAGAAGTTATTGAATAAATATAAAATTACACATTTATTTAAGCCTTGTTAGGGATTTAGTAGGGAAGTTTATAATGTCTTTCAAAAAGACTCTTAAGACTTTATATAATAATATTTTGCAAGGATTATCATAAACTTAATTTGTCATTCTTTTATTTACTTTATTTTAGCCTCGCAGAATCAAGAACGGCTCTGTGCATTTAAAGATCCATATCAGCAAGACCTTGGGATAGGCGAGAGTCGAATCTCTCATGAAAATGGAACAATATTATGCTCAAAAGGTAGCACCTGCTACGGCCTTTGGGAGAAATCAAAAGGGGACATAAATCTGGTAAAACAAGGCAAGTAATACTTTTCTTACCTGAAATAACTGTGTTTTATGCAATTAAAGTTTATCTAAGAAGGGCATGGAGGTAGATTAAAACCCCCAGGAACACAGTAAATTTGAAAGTATGTGTTCATGCATATATTCACACGCAGCTCCAAATTTGTGAAGGGCAGTTGGCTTTTAGCTTTTGTTAATAACTTCTTTTCTTATTATAATGTTAATAATATGTCATCTTTGTATGAAGTTTAGAAAATATAGAAAACTATAAGAGCAACAAATGTGTGCAATTTCATACTCTTATCTTAAAACTTTTTTTTTTACTATATTGGTTTATTCCTTTAAGATGTGTTTTCTGTGTACTTCTATGTTTATCTGTGTGTGTACTTTTTTTTTCCCAAAATTTGGATCTTAATAAACAATTTTATACCCAATTTTTCCTATTTTAAATTATATCTTGACTATTTCCCCATGTCTTTTAATATTCCTTGAAAACACTTTCAACCATTGTGTACATGTATCTCAGTTTATTTACACATTGCTCTGTTGTTGGGCATTATGTTATTTTGTGGTTTTCATTGTAATGTATAATGCTTCAATGGCTATCTTTGAACATAATTCTTTGATCGTATTTGATAATTTTCTTAGAATAGATTTCTTGGAGTAGAATTTTTAGTTTATAAAACATGAGTATTTTAAAGGCTCTTCATAAAAATTGCCATGTGACTTTTTAGAAATGTATACATTTACATTTCCTCCAGCAGTGTATGAGAATTTTACTGAATCCTTATCATTACTTACAATTATTTTTAAAATCCAAAACAATTTAATAGATATAGACAAAAATGTAATCTTATTGTTGCTTTAATAATAATTCTGAGATTAATTTTGAAGTGCAACATTTTATTAGGGCTTTTTTCCCCATGAAATGCCTATTTGTACTTTGCTTTTTTCTGTTATTTTAAAAAAGGTATGTTTTCAATTGATTTGAAAGAATGTTTTATAACTTATGTGTACTCTGTCACATTGATTGTAGTTATTTCTTAGTTTATTGTTTTCCTTTTAGATTTTTTAAATCGTATTATTTCCTAACTTATTTACATTAATATAAATTTGTAGGATGTTGGTCTCACATTGGAGATCCTCAAGAGTGTCACTATGAAGAATGTGTAGTAACTACCACTCCTCCCTCAATTCAGAATGGAACATACCGTTTCTGCTGCTGTAGCACAGACTTATGTAATGTCAACTTTACTGAGAATTTTCCACCTCCAGATACAACACCACTCAGTAAGTAGTTGTAATAACTTACTTTTCCTTCTAATTCCTTTCTCTAAAGATTTGCAAAATATAAAAATATGTGGAAACATTCAGGTTTGGCTGGAATCAGAGGGGAGAGTTCCAGCATCATGAGACTACATCTAGCTAACACCTAAAATCCAAAAGAGAGCCACCAGGGTTTCCAAGGTATTGGTATGTTATTAAATAAGTTTGAAGCAAAATATAGAACTTTCCAAATCCCATGAAGGGAAATTTGTGACTATTAAGAAAACTACATATATGTTTATTCTTTTACCCAGCACTCCCATTTGTAGGAAATTACCTTGAAGATACACCTCGAGCAGTACAAAAGTACATATGCATAAAGTTTCCCATTGCAGTGTTACCTGTAACTGCATAACATTGGAAACTACCTAAATGAGCAAGAATAGGTAGGAGATTGATTGAAATGCACTATGGTACATATGGGTAATGAAATACTAGTTATATAGCTATAAGAAAAAATGAGTAAGGTCTCTGTAAACTGATATGGAATGATTTCTAGAGATAATGTTAGGTGAATAAGAGGCATAAATAGGCTGTCTTTTGTGTAAGACAGAAAGTTTATCTTTACAAAAAGAAACAAAGAAAGGATAAACTAGAAAATAATGAAGTTGGTTACTTACAAGGGATGGAGGGAATGGAATGGGAAGGATAGAGGAAGGAGGAGCAGTCCTCTCAATGTAGCTGTTTGTATGTAGTTTTGAATTTTGGTATCATGTTGCTATTATGTGTATGCAAAAAGTAAAATTAAATCAGTAAGGATAGGAAGAGGGGTATAAAACCCAACCTGAAAGCAGACCGAAGCAAATGAGCCCAATTATATTTCACATAAATATCATAATCATACTTAAGGGAAAAAAAAGAACTAGTCTAGGCATTATACAAGTACACTATTTGACTGTATATACTCTTTTAGGCAAGCTGTGTGATTTAAGAGATGGGAGAATTGCAGACAAATAATGAACTCTTTTTAGAAAGTTTGTTTTTTAGTAGCATAGACAAAGCAATTCTGAAAAATTGTAGGTATATTTGTATTATAGGATTAAGAAAATGAGTGTAAGTGTTGATATTCTTGGGAGCCAGTTTTCTCACTAAAGGAATAGGGACACACAATTACAGATGGGGGAAGACCAGAGAATCCTATATGAATAGATCATAGTTCAAGGTATCATTATGGGTGACTCAAAAAAATCTGTATGTATGTGTTGCATGCATGCATATATGTATATACATGTGTATATATTTGTATGTGTATATATTTATGTATGTGTTTATGTGTATATACATACATATCTACATATACTTTTTAGGTCTGTTTGTTGAAAAAGATAAGAGCAAAAGTACCCCAGGAGCACTGAGTGTATATAATGCCCAGATTTAGTTTCTACTACCACTCCCCAGTTAATAGAACTTGAACTCCTTGTAAAAATGACTTATTCTAGGACTGGAGCAGGATGGGTGCAAGATAAACCCGAAGCATCTTGTAACCCTAGTAAGTAAGGAAAGAAGTGACCCCAAATAGGATGGAGACTTGTCACAGTAGCCAGCTTGAAGGAACCTCCTACTGGCTAAATTTGGGATAATTTTAGTGCTTATAAAGTATAGTAATAAATTATAAACCATTGGAGGGAAAATGAATTGAGCCTGTGTTGATAGCAGAGAAGGGAGAAGATAGAGCACTTGTTTATAGTAAAATTCCAAATGCCTACTGGTAAATGTAGGAGTGCTGAAATTGGAAAATTATCACTCTGCAGCCATCTTGGCAAGGATTAGATCAGGTAAGAATCATCAGGCTAGTAAATCTACGGGCAGTTTCAATGAGGACCAAGGATATTTGCATTATTTTGAAGTTTCTCTGACATATTGCAGGGGAAAACTTAGTAACTGTAAAGTGAGGCAATTAGATAACACCTTAAGCAGGTAATTAAGATTAACATCATCAGAGAAGGGTAGATGGACATCCATGATACCCTAAGGAAACAATGTTACTGACATAGTACAATATTTCAGCCGGGTATGCATAAAGTGAATCTGATCACAAAGGAACAAATTGTAAATTAAGAATGTTTTGTTATAAAAAGGGAATTTGTTTTCTTAAAAAATGTCAATGTCATAAGAAAAAGAGACTGTGGAAGGCTCTAGATTAAAGGAGGCTAAAAAACTTGACAGCTAAGCAAGCTAACTCTCCTATACTGAATGCAAAAAATATGATAAATTATGTTGTTAGGCCAGTTTACAAAACAGATGATTAAAGAATTTTTTCCAAAAAAAAAGAGTTTTTTCAATTTTAAATTCACTGAAGGTGTTAATAGTAGTGTGTATCCATATTCTTAGGAAATTCTGTAAGAAGTGTTTAGAAATAAAGGGCCATCATGTATGTATATAACCATCCCTAAATGATGAAGTAAATGAGGTAAAATGGTAACAAAAGCGAATCTGGATAAAATTACATGGGTATTCTTTGTACTGTTCTTATTCTTGCAACTATTCTGTAAGTTTTAAATTATTTCCAAATAAAAAGTTTTAAAATTTTTAAAGTAATTTTTCAGTTGAAATCTAGCCCTTCTTAAGAATTCTTTCTCTGTCAGCAGATTTATTAGTCCATGCTCTAAGACCTTCAGTTTTGGATTATTTCCTTTGATTTGTTGATGAAACACTAAACTGAAAGCAATAGGTAGTTTTTTTCATGTAATTTCTATCTACTCAAGGCAATTAGCCTTTATTAGGAAATTATACTGAATTGGCTACATTTATTTCCCACAACCAACCAAACAAAACAAGATTTCTAATTTTTGCTTGTACATCTAGCTAGATGATAGAGAAGTGAACTTGTATATGTTCTCAAAAATCCTTACAGCTCCATTTCAAATTATTACCTAGATCTTGGTCTACTGTGATCTTTTTGTTTGTTTGTTTGTTTCATATATCAGGCTTTATTTGATATGAAAAGTGAATATAGCTAAATTTATATTGTACATGCAGGCTATTCTCACTGTCAATGAATTTTCATTCTTTTCGTATCATATTTTTTAACACTTTTATGTGGTGTGGTTCCTGTACAGTAAACTACACATATATCAGATGTACAATTTGATGAATTTTGATAGATGTATACACCCATGAAACCACCACCATAATCAAGATAGCTAACATTTCTATCACTCATTAAGAGGTACAGTTTTCAGATTCCCAGTTTATCCCTTTAACCCCTGGTAACCATAAGTTTGTTCTCTATGTCTGTGAGTCTGTTTCTATTTTGTAGGTAAGTTCATTTGTGTCCTTATTTTTAGATTCCACATATAAGTGATATCATATGACATTTTTCTATTCTCTTTCTGGCTTACTTTACTTAGAATAACGATCTCCAGGTCTATCTATGTTGCTGCAAATGGCGTTATTTTATTCTTTTTTATGGCACAATCTTCTTTATCCAGTCATCAGTCAGTAGACATTTAGGTTGTTTCCATGTCTTGGCTATTGTAATTAGTGTTGCTATGAACATTAGGGTGCATGTGTCTTTTCGAATTAGTTTTCTCCAGATATATGCCCAGGAGTGGGATGCTGGATCATATGGTAAATCTTTTTTAGTTTTTTAAGGAATCTCCATACTGTCTTCCATAGTGGCTGTGCCAATTTACATTCCCACCAGCAGTGTAGGAGGGTTACTGTGATCGTTTGAATCAAAAGCATGAACTAGTTGCCAAGTAGAAATCAGTAATGCTATCACAATAAAGAAGGACAGTGTTTTTGTAAAGTACCCAATTTATTTATTTTGTTCCATAAACAAAACAATCAAGTAAGTTTGATGTTAGTAAACAAAATGAATATTTGATTTTACATTAATCTCAAGAAAAATAACCACTACTGTATAGGATATCAGACATTTAGTCTGTAAATGCCAGGTGTGTGATCAAAACAGAAAATAGTTTTAAATCTTGAAGTTTAAGGAATTAATTAAAATATGAAATTAAGAAGCAGAACTTAAAAGAAATAATGTTCCACTGTATTTATATACATTTTGTTCATCCATGGGTGAGAACTTGGTTTGCTTCCACCTTTTGGTTATTTAATAATGCTGCTATGAATATGGGTCTACAAATATCTTTTTGAGCCTTTTTTTTTAATGCACTGTATGTGTTTTTTTTCCCCCTTAACAGATCCACCGGGGATTGAAACCAGGACCTCGTGCACATCAAGCACGAGCTTTACCGCTGAGCTATATCTCCACCCCACTAAGCAGCAGAACTTTTTGTTTGTCATCATATAATACATCAGTAGACAGTCTGGCAATAGCAATTTTTCTCCTTTATAATTTTTCATTATAAAAACACTACTTATTGAGTATTTAACATAAACATTTGTCAAGTAAAAGACACATATGTTTGAAAATTATTATGGAGGAGGTATAGCTCAGTGTTAGAGTGCATGCTGATCATGTTTGAGGTCCTGGGTTCAATCCCTAGTATCTGCATTAAAAAAAACAAAATTACTATAAATATAGTGCAAATTTATCAAAGAAAAGGGGGAGAGTGTGGGCTCTCTCTTGATGGAAAACATCATTCTTATACTTTTGTATTGTTTGAATCTTTAACATAAGAATGTATTTGTGTATTACTTGTGTAAGAAAATATTAAAAGAATGCTTGTCGATAGAGACAAATAGAAAAATGAAATAAGTAGAAAGGAGAAAAATACTCTTTCATATTCTCTACACCTATATTCAACCATTGTTAATATTTTGAATGTTTCTATTATTTTTATTTTTGTATAGTTGTATTAGTGGTATAAATACATTTTAGATCATGCTTTTTAAATACAATTTAATAGTATTTTCTAGTTATTGCATATGTTCACCAGTTTTAACAGTTGTGTAGTATTTCATCAACTAAATATTTCTTTTATCCATTCCCCGGGTTTTGGACATTTCGGCTGTTTCTCGTTTTACTATGATGCACATCTTTATATGTG